AGCAAGGAGCAGACGGCTGAGTTTATTAAACTCCACCGAGACAGCGGTGACGCTAATCAGAAGGCTAGACCGTCCAATTTCACAGCCGTTTACTTCTGAGGACCCGGCCCACGTAGACCGCGAAGGCCGGGTCCTCAGGAGGATGCAGCCCATGAATTTGGACACGACCACAGTGTCAGTTAGCTGGATAGCCAATTAGTCTCTTGTCTTGTGACTTGACAGGCTCCAGTTTCACTGTCTTTAGCTTGTAACAGTAGTAGTTGTTTTATGATCTATGATCTATCTTAAGTGCTTTAAAGGCTCACTTTTTGGGGAACTTTGGTCATGAACTCTTGAGTCACTGTCCACCTTTTCTCCTGTTAGTAAAACATAATTTAAGGAGTCTGAGTGACAGCACCATCGACTATCCAAATATTTTAGTCTTTGGACTCAAACAGGCAGAATTGTAGACCCTTTCCCATCAAATCACTTTTAGAGGTGATTTCGGATTTGTTGGTTATCTTGAGTAATGCAAATCCCAATGTGTTTGGATACATGCACAACAAAGGAGTCATGAAAAAAATCTGTGGTTTCCCTGCGCTTTTCTTCAAGTTACAGGTGACTTTCTTCCTCAGTTGGAACAGCCTGTATGTCTGTCTGTTCTATAACCCTTACTAAACAAATCAACCATCCGATTGGTGGCGAACCAGAACAATAAATGTGTGCAACCTGCTAGCCAGAGTGAGATAGACTGTAAGGAAATCTGAAAACAGGTGGTTAGCTGAACCCATGGAAACACACTGTAGATCACCACAGGTGCATTTAAACTCAAGGATAAACAGGTACACAATGATCATTTGCTTTCCCCAAATGCGCTGGCAATGACCCGATGGATTTTATATTTGGCCTTTTGCTTAAAGCTGAGTCATTGATGATTGATTGGTGATGGCTGATTGGTTGTCTGGTTCTGTTGGTTGGCTGCAGTCGCGTGGAGCTGAAGAGACTTTGTGAGATCTTCACACGGATGTTTGCAGATCCTCACAGCAAGGTAATGAATCAGAACTTTACCAACTAAAACAATGATTTGGATGAACACTGACATCAATATGAATGCATGGTACATTACATGTGTATGCTGTGACTTTTTGGTACTAATGAGGCGTCCCTTGTTGCATGTTCTGCCTTGCTGTGGACTTAACAACAGAGAGTAAGTTTGTTTTTGAATTCATATTCTGCAAATAAATATGAGATTTTAAAAAAACTGCCAGTTTATTATTTTTTCCTCCTTAAAAATGTTTTGCATTTTAAATGTATGATCTGTGTGCATATTTGCAGGTCTTCAGCATGTTCCTTGAAACTCTCGTGGACTTCGTCACAGTACACAGGGAGGACCTGCAGGACTGGCTCTTTGTCCTGCTCACCCAGCTGCTGAAGAAGATGGGCGCAGACCTGCTTGGCTCAGTCCAGGCCAAAGTCCAGAAAGCCCTGGATGTCACAAGGTCTGAAAGTCACACCAGTCATGGCTGCTTCCTATTGCATTGCTGGTCGATAAGGAGTAGGCATGCAGGATCAAATGTTATATAATTCAGTCAGATGGAATCACATTATATACAGATGATTATTTTTCAATAAAAGCAACGAGATATACAGATCCATAAAAACAGACCGTTAGTTTCGCAGTCGGAAGCTGCTGCAGTTTTGAAGAAAGTCAGTGTGTTACCTGCAGCAGGTGGTAGTAGATCACACCCCCCAAGTACACACATAATCTAAAGCCATGTGCTGCTGTGCACACAAATGGAACATTGTCACTGCTTTACCTGCCATCAGACAGGAAGTGAAGCCTCTCTCCACCAGGCTATTTCTACAAAAACTCACTTTGGTGTTTTAAAGGATCAATTCAGGTCTGAGTTAACATCTTGAAATGCAAAAGTCACAAAAAAGTAGTTGAGCAAGCCGTGTTTGCAGGGTGAAAGTTATTGCTTTTATTCTCTGTTAGTGTATTCTTTTCACAAATGAACAAACATTTTGGGTTTTACATGCACAGCTGTGGCTTTAATATCAATGTGGACATTTAAAACTTTGATTTATTATTTGCAGTTAGACTGCAAATAATGAACTATATATCCCTCGTTGCTGCATGGCAATTTAGAGAGTAAATTTAAAGCAAAGGCTACATCAAATTATACTGATATAAACACTGCTGTCCAATCATTTGCAAATATATTGATATTTTCGAAACCTATTTCAGCTTTTCCTTAGACCCGCTTAAAAGCCACATGAAGGAAAGAAGTGAATTCTGTTCTCTTTCTCTGTGTTAGGGAGTCCTTCCCATTTGACCAGCAGTTCAACATTCTGATGAGGTTTATTGTGGATCAGACTCAGACTCCAAACCTCAAGGTAAAGTAGAAGTAAAGTTGATTTTTGGTCGGCAGATATAATTTCAGCAAGACTAAAGATTTCTTGTCTCTTCAGGTGAAAGTGGCCATTTTAAAGTACATCGAGTCCCTGGCACGGCAGATGGATCCCACAGACTTTGTCAACTCCAGCGAGACTCGGCTCGCGGTGTCTCGCATCATCACCTGGACCACTGAACCAAAAAGTTCAGATGTGCGGAAGGTAGGCCAAAATATGTCCTAAGGCTCTCACACTTAGTATTCTAGTTATTATTTCATTCTAGTATTATCAAAGAGTACAGTGCGGCCCCATTTCATCTTCAGTTGATATCTCTACAACACAATACACAGATGTCTTACTCAATCTCTGCACTTTCTTTACATTCTATTAATATTTTTAGAACGTTTTATTTATTTATTTACTGTACCGAAAGCACCTTTAAAGAGGCACGGTGGACCTAAAACGGCTTGAACCAAGAAACAGTATAAAATACAGAAGGATCGTATTGAAGGATGTGTTTGAATCATGTAAAGCTGTCTGTGAAGTGTCCGAAAACAAAAATGTGGGGTTAGAATTTACAGAAAATTGTTGACTACAGAACAATTATATTGTATTCCTCTGCTCCTTTATTTCATTTGGGTTCCTTGGCCTGTTGTGTTTGTCCAGCAGCAGTTGTAAACTTTGATAATAGGCACTCTCCGTGTGGATGGCCTTCGGTCAATGGCCCATTATCTTTCCCTTGTCTGATGCGCGTCATATGTTCTCCCTCTGTGTTCCTCACTGTTTGTTTTTCCACTGCCGCTCTTCCAAATGAAATCCTCACCCAGCCCAAATCTTTAGATATGCTGTAAATAGACCAACAGGAATACAATAGGTGCATCTATTATCAGGGGACACTGATCCACATGCACAGATCTTCTCAAATATTGCTTCTGTGATGATGGTTGGGGTCCTGTGCCATTCTGTAATGCCCCTTCTGCCTTGCCACTGTTGCCCCAGACCCTTCATAACTGGGTGAGCGAGGAGCTAGCAGGCAGGTCCAGCACTGCAGCCTTACTGCAGTCGACTGAGGGCAACCAGGAAGAAAGGTGTAAGCAGGTAGAGCCCTCTTCAGCAGCCAATTACATCACAACAAGCACGCCTGCCCGGTACCTAACCAGCCACCAAACCTCCAAGACTGCAAAAAAGAAAAAAGCCAACTGCGGCATCCTGTCACTCACCATTTACACTCCAGCTGTTCTGCTGAACAAATAAAGTCAGTGTGTGCCTGGCAAAGTGATCACTCACCAAATAAACTGAGCTTGTTGTGCAACCTGGAAAGACGTTTGTTTAACATTCGTAGTTCTCCAGGAAAGCTTGTGGTTTTGAATGCATTTGGATGGATTTTAATTTTGCAGTGCAACATTAATAGGAATGCTCGTTTTTTTGTTTTAATAGTTTGTGCCTAACACTGTTTGACTCACCCTAACAACCTGCCGTCCACCTGCATATCTGCATGCTAACATGAAGATTTTAGATATGTGTGTCGGGAATAGAGGCACCAAGAGCTGGATGTCACCCCTTTATCACCCAAGTGTCATACAGGCCGGCTGGATTTACGTTGTAATTTTAGCTGTAAAAATACAAAATAATTCTCATTTAATAACCATTTGAATTTTCTATCTAGCCCTAAGTATTTGAGGAATTATGGTAAAGTGAAGCACATGGTCAAATCAGTTTTTTGTGTCTGACAGCAGTACCTTATAAGTGCTTTGTGCTACTGTGATACACGAAATATCCCCAGTAAAGCTCATAAATCACTCATCCTTCTAGTTCAGCCATTGCACAAATGAAGAGAACTGCCTAAAATCTTTTTTTATGAATCAGCTTAATAGTTAAACCTCAAGTAGAAACTTCTGCTGAATTTGCTCATTTTGCAAAATTAAAAAGCAACCCAGAGTTTTTAAAACATCAAAACTAAACCAATCCTAACCAACAGCCTTTTTTTGTTTTTCCACACCAGTATTAATACACTGTATTACCCTGAAAGAGTCATTTGTGTTAAAGAATTCAGGCTTAAATTAACAGTCAACAAAGAAATACATTTGAGTTAATTATGTAATTATTTTGCTTACATCTCATTTAAGCTCAGGTTAGTCTCCCGTCTTCCCGTGCTCTCTGTTTCACTGTATTTATTCACACACAGAGCAGGGCAGCTAAAGCAAAGATAACATTAACTGAGTTGATGATACCTTGTTATCACTTTTATTGCACTAAGAGCAATAAAAGCTGTTCATGAACTGTTATTCCCAACAAAGTGAAAGACAGAAGAGAGGGCCAACAGGGTGATTTAAATGTTTGTTTTTTGTGTGTTTTTACTTTAAAATTAAGTTAAACAACTGCAAAGAAACAAACAACACTGGTTGGGATAGTTGGTTCCTTCAATGCTATATTAGCCGACCTTCAAGCACAATGTGCAGGCATAGCTTCACTGCTGCCCCGGGTTAGAGCTTTGTGTGGTCCCATCCTAAATGAACAAATTATCAGCAACTAGAAGATCTCTCCCCGGACATTTTGTCCTCACAGTTTATCATTTTAAAGATTTTCACTGTGGGTTTTGTAGTTCTATAAAATTAGAATCCCCAGTAGTTCATTTTGTATGATGCTATTCCTGGTGAATATTGGGTATAATCTATAGTGAGTTTATAAATGGAAATTATAAAAGTAAAGAAGAGATGGGCAGCTTCGCTGCGTTTGGAGCCACAAATACATCAATCAGCTCATCTGAACTCTTAACACACAAAAAATCCTTTGTTTCATCCGATGTATCAGGATGTTATATTTTATGTTTTAGACCCTATGTTGGTTAAGCTCAAATAAAGTGTGAAAATTCTTTAAAGATATAATTACAGTAATCAAACTGAGCTGTGCACATGCTGGAAGGCAAGTTTTTTTCCTCCTGAAAACAACCTGTTGGATGTTTAGTCAATCATCATTTTGTCATAAATATGCAATCGGGTAATTGAAATCAGAATTATAGCCGATATAAACTGTGATTGCTGCATCCCTAAGTAAAACTGGTGTGTAGTTGTCATTTCTCTATCACTTCTTACCAGAAACCTGCACAAGAATCAAACATGACATATTTGACAACTTATTCCCAATAATAGACCAAACATTGTTCTGTTAAACATCAACTTCTATTCTCCTGCAGCTGCAGCAGCACACCAGTACTTCCTCCTTTATCTTTACTCACTTGCATGTTGCAGCACTGATTTTCCTGAAAAGATTCTTCTTCCTTTAGTTTTCTACTGAATGCATCTTTGAATTCTCACCTTTCAAAAAATGTTTTTCTACAGGCTAAAGCCTCCATTACTGCACCAAGAAGCCCGTCTTGGAGCCAGAAAGTGAAAGAATGTCTTCCATGGTTTCAGAAGTGCATTGGCAACAACCTGTGTATCAAATTCTGTAAAATATTGTAAAACATTACTGTTATTCTAACTTGATAAGTCATAATGTCCACTGTATGTGCTTGATATTGGAATATCCATGTTAAGCATTAACTAGTTCCTCGTCAGTGTGCATGTTAGCCTATTGGCTCTAGAGTTAGCCATAAAGCACTCAGTGATGCCTTATTCTACACAAGCATGTTCTGCAGTTTTTAGGATACAACAATGAGTCTTTGGCCAGTACCCTCATAATTACTGCTTATTGGATAAATAAAGAAGATCTTGTACATAAATTATGATTTTAATATGCTTTACTCGTGGCCTCATAGGAACTGAACCTTGAGAACTGAACTGTAAGAACTGAACCTGAAACTTTTTAGTATCATTAACTGCTTTTTAGAATAAGATGCACTGAAGTTTAGGAGAATGTCAGTGTTAGGAATTCACCTGTTTCTTGCTTCCTGGTACAGTTCAGCATTTATAAC